TGCTAAAACAGATGGGACAACTGACATCGATGCCCAGGAAAAAGCCAACCTGCTACGTGGGTATTTTGCGTTGGTTTTTCATCAGTCCCATGGGACATCCCTGCCCATTACAGGACAGGAAGGCCCAGGTGAGGGAGATTCCTTACCCTCCATCAATGCTGACCTTGTGAAGGAACACCTTGAGAGACTGGATACCTTCAAGTCAGCTGGCCCTGACAGTTTACACCCCAGGGTACTCAAGGAGCTGGCGAGCATCATAGCTCAGCCCCTGGCATGGATCTTTGAGAACTCCTGGTGCTTTGGTGAAGTGCCCAAAGACTGGAAGAAGGCCAATGTGGTGCCGATCTTCAAGAAAGGGGGAAAAGTGGATCTGGCAAACTACAGGCCCATCAGCCTGACCTCTATACCAGGGAAGGTCTTAGAAAAGATTATTAAGGAGGCCATTCTTAACAAACTGGCCAATGGCAACATCCTGAGGGGATAGCCAGCACGGGGTTGTTGCGGGTAGGTCTTGCTTGACCAATCTTATTTCCTTTTATGACCAAGTGACCTATCACCTGGACAAGGGAGAGGAGATTGATGTCGTTTATCTTGACTTTAAAAAAGACTTTGATCTGGTATCCCACGATCACCTCTTGGCAAAACTGGCCAACTGCGGCCTCGTGTCCACCACAATCTGCTGACTGGGGAATTGGCTCCATGGTCAGACCCAGAGGGTGGTGGTTGACGGAAGTCGATCATCATGGTGTGCTGTGACCAGTGGGGTCCCTCAGGGCTCTGTCCTTGGGCCAACACTGTTCAACACCTTCATTAATGATGTGGACACTGGTATCAGAAGTGGACTGGCCAAGTTTGCTGATGACACCAAACTTTGGGGTAAAGCGTCCACACCTGAGGACAGGAGGGCGGACCTGGCTGACCTTGACAGGCTCAGGAAATGGGCGAATGAGAACCTGATGGTGTTTAACACCAAAAAATGCAAGGTTCTCCACCTTGGGCGGAAAAACCTGCAGCATGCTTATAGGCTCGGCAGTGCTATGCTGGGAGCACTATGGACGAAAGGGACTTGGAGGTCATGATTGACCATGAGATGAACATGAGCCTTCAGTGTGATGGTGCAGCTAGTAAAGTGAGCAAAACGCTGGTTTGCATCCATAGATGCTTCTCAAGCAAATCCCAGGACATCATATTCCCATTGTACTTGGCCTTGGTGAGGCTGCAGCTGGAGTACTGCATCCAGTTTTGTGCTCCACAGTTCAAAAAGGATGTGGAGAAGCTTTAGAGAGTCCAGAGGAGAGCCATGCACATGATCAGAGGTCAGGAAAACAGACCTTATGATGGGAGCCATGGGACTCTTCAGCCGGGAAAAGCACAGGCTCAGGGGTGATCTGGTGGCCACATATAAGTTCATCAGGTGTGCTTACCAGTATCTGGGGGAACGTCTGTTCACCAGAGCACCCCAAGGGATGACAAGATCGAACGGTCACAAACTCTGCTGCGACCGATTCAGGCTGGGCATAAGGAAGAACATTTTTACTGTCTGAGCTCCCAAGGTTTGGTATAGTCTGCCGCCAGGGGTGGTTCAAGCACCTACTTTGAATGCCTTCAAGAGACATTTGGATGTTTATGTTGCTGGGATCCTGTAACCTCCTGCTGACTTCCTGCCCCTGGGGCAGAGGGCTGGACTGAATGGTCTTCCAAGGTCCCTTCCAGCCCTAATGTCTATGAAATCTATGAAACTTAGAAGGCATTAATGAAAATATCAAATATCATTGGCTTGAGGACAGCCCCTTGACCTGAACAGTCCTTGAAATGCCCTCTATGTCTGACAGCCAACCACTGATTTTTACTCTTCAAGAGTAATTTTTCAACCATCCTGGAATTTTCATCCAAATCATGTTCCCTTAGTTTGCTTTTGAGGCTGTTGCTCCTTGTGCCCCATGTTGCGCTGTCCTGCCTCGTGGGGCTGGGGGAGGAAGTGGCGCCTGGAGGAGGGAGGTTCAGCCGAGAGCCTGGAGCCCCTGGCTGCTATTCAGATAGATATGGAGAACAGCATCTGAGCAGGAGTCTGGGGATGCAGTTTAACACTTTACAGGCCACGTGCCAGTTGGATAGCCCTAAAATAACCTGTTACTGGAATAGCAGAGACACCATGGAGAGGTAGGCCGTGGCCCTGAGCTTGCCACCTAGGAGCAGATTCTATCCAACCTTTGCTCAGCAGAAGCAAAGTCTGTTGATGCAATGATCTGCTTGGAATACTTAATGATGAAGTTGTATATGAATGTTTAATACCTTCCAGCCAGGGAGGTCAGATCAGGTACAGAGGAGAATTAAGTGCCAGAGGGTCCCTGCTCCCTGGGATTAAAATTGAGTCAGACCAGAAAAGCTATGCAGCCTGGTGCTGCCTGCTGAGGGCCTGGTTGTGGTAGTGTGGTATGGGTGGGGCGTGGGGTATGGGCAGCTCTACGGCAACCTGTGCAGTTGTCTGCCATGTGGTTAAAGCTGATTGTTACTGTTTCTTGTTAATAAAGTTAGACCATGTTAACGAGGTATCATGATGTCTAGGGGAGAGATGGCAAGGCCCCCCTCAAACATTCCAGGTGTGAGGGGCCCTTGGCTGCTCCTGACCCTTTTCCTCTCATTAATTACTGCTTGGAAATGCTGCATGCGGTTTCTTAAATGTACATACTAGTGTCTGCTGTCCCCAGGTGCTCTGTAGCAAAGATCTGCTGTTCAGGCTGCTGCCACAGTAGAAAACTCGCATAACCTCCATGGTGTCTTGTGCTGTTTCTCTTCAGGAACCTCCCTGCCTTCAGCACCCCCACGGTCTCCCGGAAGTCTGGCTCCCGAGTCAGTAGGATGTTCTCAATGTCCCACAAATCCCCACCACCCAAGGTGCCACAGCCTGAGCGACTAGACGAGGTGTACGAAGCACTGAAGAAGGGCCTGACGTAAGTTTCTCCCGTCCCCATCCTGCTCTGGCTTGGCTGAGTGACTTTGGTGGTATTTGATCTCTTTATTATGTGTGCAAGATGGTGAGAGTGATAGGCTGTTGGGTTCTAGGACCCCAAGCATAAGAGTGTGTGAGAGCTTGTAGCAGGGCTCCCACAGCCTTGTGTCTTAGGACAGGGCAGTGCCAAGAAGAGTCCATTCCAGGGTGCACAGTGGCCTAGGAGAGGAAGCTGAATTGCCCAGTGTTGGTCATTCTTGCTGTAACAGGGAGCCTAGGGCTCTTGTTACTTTAAAGAGAGTAACTACAGCTGATAGAGTCTGGACAGCTGAATACAGGCCAGCTACAAGAGGGAAGGCAGCAAAGAAAAACCGCTGCCTAAACAGGGAGCTGCCCATTAGTGAAAAGGAGTGCACCTGCAGTCTGGTCAGGAGAACTCTGCCTAGGGTGAGTTGGCTGCAACGGAATAGGTAGTGTGGGATGAGAGGCTGTGACTGCCTATTGCAGAGCTTGCTGCTAGGCAATAGATCAGTAGGGCCTAGCGGAGCTGGAGCAGCTGGGCTGCTTCTAGTTATAAGCTGGCCTGGAAACCAGCAGTCAGACTCTCAGGAGAAATCCCTGCAGGTGACTGTGGCACCACCTGACCTGGAGTGGTGGGGCCTGGACAGCATATAAGCACACAGTCTGAGCCAGAAAGGGAGCAGGGAGGAGCTGCTGGTCAGGAAGACTGCAGGAGGATGCTTGGCTGACTTCTGAGCTGTGCTAAGGACTGCCAGAAGCACACTGGTGGCTTAGAGAGAAACAATCCAGGGTAAGGGGAAGTGCCCAAAGCAGGGAGGAGACAGAGCTAGGAGGCCCAGGCAGAGTCAAAGCAGGCTCATTGCCCAAGGCAGGGCAGAGACAGGGCCAGGAGGGTCAAGACCAAAGTAATCAAGACTGGAGCTGGGGCCCAGAAGCCACGTCCTGCACAGTGGGCCTGAGCTAGAAGGCCCAGCTAGAGGAAAGGGGCAGGAGCCAAGAGGCCGAGGCCCCAGTAAGGGATGATTGTACAGTAATACCTGCAAGGCAAGCGTGGCTGTAGGGAAGGTTGGAATCCTGCAGTGCTCACACTGATGTCATGATGACAGTGCCTACTAGAAGCCAAGAGCATTGAGCAGCCTGTGGTGTTCCTCCAGACTTGTGGGCACCCATCAGACATGCCCTCTCTTTGCTGAGCTGTCTTCAGCCCCTTCTTATCCCCAGGTGACAGAGCTCAAGAACCTGGCCAACCACATGGTGGTTGGCAATGTCTCATGTGAGACCAAGGACCTGTTTGCAGCACTGCCCTACCCTTAATGCTGCAGGTGCCCTGGGGAGTATGGACAGATCAGGAGGGCCTACTTTGTCTGAGAGGGGTAGAACTGAGACCAGCAGGGTCTGGGAAGGACCTGTTGGTTGCAAGAAGGACTTAGGACCCTTAGGCAGCCTCCCTTTCAGCCATCTAACAAATACATCAAGGTGGAAGAGAAGGGGAGAGTACCCTAGAGATGGAGCAGGGCAGGGTTGCATGGTCATCAAGGTGCATCACAGTCACTCCTGGAATCTGAACCTTGCTACACTTGCCTTTTGCCCACTGGCTGTGACCATGATACATGCATGTGAAGTTTATTTTGGGGTAGGGCCTGTTCAATGTGGCCAGCATACATGTGAATCTGGGGAGAGAAGAATGAGTGTCCAGTGCATGGGTGTATGAGATTTGGCCTGAGTTCTACTTGGCATTTCTTTTTGTATGTGTGTGTGAGGGCTGAGCATGCTGAGCAGGGCATGGCCTGCCTGGTGTGACCTGCACATGTCATAGTGGAATGTGCTGGGTGAGGGAGCAGGATGGGCCAAGGCCCACAAGACATGACCAGCATGTATGTGAAGGGTGGGGTAGGACGTGGTAGGCCAGCATATATGAGAGATGAGGCTGGAACTGGCCAAGCATGATCAGCTTGTGTACACGCGAGGGCTGGACAGGGGTGGGGTCTGACAGTTGTGTGTGTGTGCGCGCGTGCGCGCGGTACTTCCACAAAAAAGAGCTGGTTTGGGGTGGCCTGTCTCTGCCCTGGGTGGGGCCCTCACTCTACTCGGTATATCCCTGTTGGCTGCTTTCAGGCCTAACTGACTGTGACACTTTTGTTTGCAGAGCCTATCTGGAGGTGCACCAGCTGGAACTGGAGAAGCTCAGCACCCAGATCCGAGAATCCAAGAGGAATTCCCGCCTGGTGAGTGAAGGGCATGGCACTTTGGTGCAACAGAACTGCCCTGCAAGGGACATGGCTGAGATTCACCTCTCCCAGAGGGACTGGGTTAGAAATCTTGGGCTCTGGCAGATGTGCTTCTCCCTCAGTTCTAGCTGGATTGCTGTGTGGGGCATCCCCTGCTGGTCCTACTGCTGTTTGTGGTGGCTGCTGTCAGCACAGATTCTGGATCTGCAACAGGAGCAGGCCAGGCCAGAGCCCACCTTGTATCTTTAAGCCCATGGTTTTAAAACATTGGCTGGTTCCCACAGGCTGGGGCCTCCATAGCAGCACCAGAATCCTGGGGTAGCCCATGTCACAGACCTGCCCATGTTGACACATGCACTGGGGTCCCTACCTAGCTTCCAGTGCCCAGGTGCAGTGTCCAGGAGCTTCTCGTGCTGGATGTTACGTGCATGTTGTCACATCATACATTTCCCTTATGGGCCTGGATAGGATGTCGCATATTTACATTGACTTGCTAATGGGTGATGGGTATGTGGCAGCTGGAGTCCACACCTTGGGCTAGCTGTGCCATGCATAGCCTTGTGTTCAGGTTGTGCAGTGTTGGTCTCCAAGTCATGTCTCACTCTTTCCTTTCACCCTTTTTCTCCTCCAGGGCTTTCTCTACGACCTCGATAAGGTAAGGTCCTGGAGCATGTGCAGCCTGCTGGGGTCCTGGGAATAGCAGGGCAGGCCCCTCGCTGAATTCCCACCTGCCTAGAACTGGGGACCTGGAGTTTCCACCACCCTGGGGCCTTGCCACCCATTCACTCCTTTGCCTTGGTGTCTTCTGCTAACGCAGCCCCTCTGTGTGGGGTAGCTGCTGTGCCCCACATGGCAGTCCTTACTCGCAGAATTACTTGAAGGCTGGATTCTTTGGGGGCTCTTGGGTTTTGCTGGGGCTAATGGTGTCTGAAAAGGGTCAGCAGATGCAGAGAGGATGGTGGTGGTGAGGTGCAGATGGTAGACTCAGCTTCCAGATCATCCTCACCACCTCTCCCCCTTTGTTAAGTTGCACTGTGTCCAGCTCTGAGACACAGCTCCTTCTTTCAGGAGCCACCCAGAAACATAGAAAAACTTAGACACCAGTGAGTGAACCAATAGGCCTTGTTTGGAAATCCAGAAGCTGGGCATTGAAGAACACATGATTGACTTCACTCTGGTCCAAACATTCAGTGTCCAGCATGTGCCTGGGGCTGCATTGACATTATGTTTGGGGTTCTCTGGGCTCACAGACAAGTGCAGTCACTGCCTTTTCTGTTGCTTTATATAGGTTAGACAGAAGCTTGTATATGTTTCAGTTCTGCTTGGGGGTTGCACTAGAAAGTCAGGTTCTGTCTGACCTAAAAAAAGCCTGTGGTTGGGTGGAGAACTAGTAGTGTTATAGCCTGATTAACAGTAGGGAAATGAGACCTGATTAAACAGGAATGAAAGTCATTTTTAGCCAGGTTGTTTCAAATTTAGAATTGTGGCTGGTTTCCTGCTAAAACCATTTTAACTCCAATTCCTGAGGAAACCCTTGGGAGAAAAACATTCCTAGAGGCAGGCTGTCCCTGCCCTTTAAGTAAAAGGCTGAGGGGTCATGCTAATTTTTAATGGAAGTCCCTGCAGGAACAGGGAATAATACTCTTTATTGTTTGAAGATAGAAATGATCTTCTTAGGCTTGCTTCACATGTCCTGTAAAAGCAATAAAGGCCCCCACCTGGGCCTGGGCTGACCCCTTTGTGGGCACTCTTTAGGCAGCAATCAACTATTGCCCTGTAGCTGCTGCTTTGCCTAGTTCCATGCTCCTCCTGATGTAGCTCCTTGTTTTGTCTTCTAGCAAGTCAAGTCAATTGAGCGGTTCCTGCGGCGGCTGGAATTCCATGCTAGCAAGGTAATGGCACACAAGCTGGACCCACAGCTGTGGGGTAGGGGAAGCCTGGCAGAGAGCAGGGTGAAGTGGGGACAGCCCCTGCTGTCCCCTGGCTCTGATACCCATCTCTTTTCATTGTAAATATTTTAGTACTCATTAAAGCTGGGATTCACTCTAGTGAGGCACGTCTCTCCTCTTGCAGCTCTGCAGTAGGGCTGTGCAAAATTTTGCTGGGTGTTTTGTTTCGAAGCTGTTTCAACATGTTTCAAGCTTGAAACAGCGAAATTGAAATGAAACAAAAAGCATTGAAACAGATTTGAAACGAAATGAGGGCACTCAAAATGTTTCGAGTTTTGAAGCAGCCCGGTGGTGGGAGGCAGGGGAGAGCCAGGGCTGTGCTCTGAGCAGCTCCACAGCCCCATGTAGGGAGCACAGCCCTGGCTCTCCCCGCCTTTCGCCACCAGACTGAGCTCCGAGTGGTTCTGGTAGCCCCGTGGAGCTCAGCCTGGAGGCAGGAGGCGGAGCGTAGCCCTGGTTCTCTGCCCATCTCGCACCACCAGACTGCGCTCCGATCAGCTCCACCAGCCCCATGGAGCCTGGGCAGCATTTGTCTTTCTTGGTGCTGGGTGCAGGCTGTGCCCAGCGCCAGTTCCAAGTGGCAGCATCCTATCATCTGGCACACATCTGGGGGCCTGCATCCCCGGGAGGAGTCCAGCACAGCCCTGCAGCCCTCTCAGGGGTGCGAACCCCCGGATCTGCGTGCCGGATGACAGGAGGCTGCCGGCAGATTTTGTTTTCAAGATTTTTAGGTGCCATTTCTGCAAAACCTCTGCACCTATCTCCTTGAAACTTGGCAGGCTTCATGCCCTCAAAAGGGGCTACCATCACTGCAGTTTGCGCCCAAATCAGGCAAGAAACAACAACGTTTTAGGCATTTTCATGATTCCCCATTATAGCCTATGGGCGAACTGTTGAAACAGCAAAACAGTTTTGATTAAAAAAAACAGAACCGTACTTTGAAATGAGATGAAACACTGTCCCTTCTAAATAAAATGAATGTCGAAACGAAACTATGATGTTTTGCACAGCCCTACTCTGCAGCACTGTCCTGTTACCTCCAACCCCCTGCTGTGCCATAGAGGATCCTTTGCTCCCCACCACCCTGCAAAGCCTCTGGCTTCCTTCTTGCCTTGGAATTACAGTAGACAGGAGTGTGGTTGGCACTGTGCTGGGCCTCCCCACAGCAAACCAGTACAGGAATCCTGCCCTCCCAGCTGCCCCCAGTTGCCTGGTCCTTTCCTGAGTTCAAACACCAAAACCAAACTCTTAGGTCAGGCCCCTGACTTACTTAGTGACCCCAGTAGCCAGCTCTCAGCCCAGCCCAGTCACTGCTGGCTGCTGCCTTTCGTACGGCGCATGGTCTGGGCACTGTTTGGGCAGGTTTGTTTGCTGTGGCCACAGGTCATAGTGTGGTCATCTCTGTTTGAAACATGTTTAACCACAGGATTGAAACAGAAATCCAGAAAGGATTTAGAATACAGCCAGTGCCTGTAACCCTTTTCTGCCTGGGCTCTGGCTTGCCAGCCCCACTTCACCCCTTTCATTTTATCTCACAATGCACTACATGTGAAGCAAGGGCAGCAAATAGCTGGTTGGTGATATTTTTTTGTTCATAGAAACCCTCAGTCTTCAATCCTCTGTTCCTTGTATATTCGCCTCCCCCAGTTCTCGGAGAGAACCTTTCATTTCCCTTGTCTGTGGTCAGGAACAAGCTGGCATGTTTGTTCTCTTCTGCCTTCTACAGTAACTCCAAGTAATCTACCAAGGGAGCGCAGATAATCAGGCTTGTTTGGGACCTGTACAAACAGAGCCTGCTGGTTGGGGTGATGGTGGTCCTTTCCCAGACAGTGTCACAGGAATGCTGCCTCACCTCAGGCCCTGCCTGACTAGAGTCTGCTCCTGCTCCTAATTATTGTTTGTTATGGATCCAAATGCCCTGAGTCATGGCTGGCTGGGAATCATGCAGCGAGTTAGCAAGTTGCTGTTGTCTGGCCTCTGGAGCAGCCAAGGCTCTTGCGACTGGGAGTCCTGGCAACCAGGGAGGTTGCATGCACAAGTCTGTGCTCCGCTAGGCTCCTCTGAGGGGCTTGGGCCTGTAAGGAGGGCTCTGCCTCCATCTGTCCATGCTTGGTGGCCGGAAGTCAGAGCATGCTGTATGTGGCTCCAGCAGAGTACCCTGGCTCAGCTGAAGAGGAGCCTGCAGGAAAGAGTGGACCAGAAATGAGGGGACACCTCTGCCTGCAGCTAATCCATTGCATGTGATGGGCATCCCAAGCCCTGTGCCCTGCCTCTCATTGTGTTGCCGTGGCTGTCCTTGCAGATTGACGAGCTCTACGAGGCATACTGCATCCAACGGCGGCTCCGTGATGGAGCCCACAACATGGTCAAGGCCTATACAGCTGCTTCCCCAGGCAGCAGAGAAGCACGCGAGAGCCTGGCTGAGGCTAGCAAAGGCTACAAGGAGTACACAGAGGTGAGGCTTGCCTGCCAGGAGTACAGCCTTATGGGAGAACAGAGAGCAGTTTTGGAGGGTAGGGGACAGGGTGGGAGCTTGCAGGTAGCCCACCGGCTGCTTCTAATGCATGCCTCTGGTTCCTCCTATCCCCAGAACATGTGCCTGCTGGAGAGTGAGCTGGAGAGTCAGCTGGGGGAGTTCCATGTGAAGATGAAAGGTAAAAGTCAACCCCTGCACCTTCATTCCCATGGACTCCTACACCACTGGCCATCTCCTTACTGCATGCAGCCATGGGCCTGCCTCATATGTATAGCCAGCAGGTGAAAGTTTCTGCCCACAGGCCCTTTGACTGGTGAGGTGAGGGCTTGAGCATGGGTGGTGACTCATCCATATGGTTCAAGCCATGCCTACTTGCTTAGGGGCTCTAGGACCAAGCAGAGAGCTGGGGAACAAAACCTGGCCCCTTGGTTTTCCTCTGGCCCTTGAGTCAGAGGAAGGACTTCTTGTGAGCAAGTGCTGCACAACCCAGTGCCCCTCACTCCTGACCTGCTGCCTCCTGCCCCCAGACCACCAGTATGTGGGACAGGGAGTGCCCCAAGCAACCCCTTGCAGGCTGGACCTATGACAGCCTGCAAGGCAAAAGCCATGGTTTCCCACATTTTTCACCTTTAAAGGAGAATCCATTTTTGAAGTTTGATCCATTTTTAAAGTTTGTTCACAACCCTTTCATATATTCTTGTGACCTACTTTTGGGTCATGACCCATGGGTTAAGAAATGCTGATCTAGTCCAACCCCCTGAGAGGCAAGATCATCCTTATCCAAACCATCCCATACAACTATAATATAAATTCTACATAAAACACTGTCAACCCTGACACGACATAAGACATAACACCCTAATCTGCTGCAGATAAAGTAGGCCAGCATCCTGCTTCTATAAAAGGCTATTAATTATGCTCAAGAGATCCTAGAGAGGGCCATGTCCCCGTGGTTCAAGCTGTGCCTACCTCTGCATAGGGGCTGTACTTAGATGGGCTGATTCTAACTTCCTGCTCTGTGCTTCTTCAGGACTGGCTGGGTTTGCAAGGCTCTGTGCTGGGGACCAATATGAGGTATGTGGAACTGCTTGTTTGCAGCCAGTAGTAGGTGCAGCAGGGCTTGGATCATTCCCTCTGTGTGCCCAGAAACTGCCTAAAGGTCCAGAGCTCCCTGCCTTTCCCACGTTTTGCCAGGTGGATCTGAGCTGAATAAGACTGAGCGGGCCTTTTAGGTGCAAGAGGGGAACCTTGTGGGTATCTTCCTTTTCCCAGAGACCTCCAGCAGAGAGAGAGGGACTGCTGCCTCCCACAAATGCACTTGGCTCCATGCAGGCCTAGCTGGGAACTGGCACTGTCCACAGCAAGGCCCTACTTCAGGGGCCTGGCTCTGCCTCCAGACTTGAGGGGGAGATTGGTAGATGCTGGTATTTGGTAGAGTTTGCATGTACACCCCCTGTCTCAAGCCTCAAGGCAGCACTTTCTTGCTCTCAGATCTTCATGAAATACGGGCGCCAGCGGTGGAAGCTAAAGGGGCGCATCGAGGTGAATGGGAAGCAGGTGTGGGACAGTGAGGAGATGGTGTTCCTGCCCCTCATCACAGAGTTCCTCTCCATCAAGGTACAGGGCACCCCAGGTGCAAAGTATTATGGGCAGTCAGGGTTGGGGGTTGACTTGGACTGGGTGCACCATGTCAGCCTTCCCTGGGCAAAGCTAATGCAGGTCTGCAAGGCAGGGCCACACCCTCTGGAATGGGCAGGGAAGCAGCTCTCATCTTGATCAGCTCCAGCATCAAGAAGGATTCAAGCAACAGCACCCTCCCACCCAGATACATACTTCTCCTCCCAGCTGCAGGACTCCCATACTTGCAGCAGTAGGGAGAGTAGTCATGGGGTAATGAAACAGTGATCTCTGATTGCTGTGGGGTCTTGCAGTGAGACTATGCAGCTAGTCACTGCATGTTCACTGTTCTAGCTGCTGTCTTGGCATTTCCCTCTCCTGGTTTTCTTCTGACCCCCTTTAACATACACAGTAAAAGTCCCACACCAGGAAGCAAGGAGTTTTAACTATTGGCAAGGCTGCCACAGCAGTGGAGGGCTCTGAAAGAATCCGCCTGTCTCCACTTTCCCTGAAATGGGGAATTTCCCCAGTTCCTACTGTGGTGATTCACCCCATAGCCCTGATCTGTGCTGTGCTCCAGTCCTTGATCACTGTCCCAGAGGGAGCAGGCCAGCAGATAACTCTCCCCCAGCTATAGTGCTCCTCAGATAGGTGTGGTTGTGCCATGCTGCTGACATAGCTGTTCCAGCTGCCCTGCTGTATGTATTGCACCCAGCATCTGCTGCTGCCTGGTTTGGGCTGGAAGACAGGTGCCCACTTCTTAGCTGAGAGATTGAGCTGGAGAGGCAGAACGCAGAGGTGTTGGGAGCTGGAGGGGGATAGTGGCTGCACCACTGAGACAGCAGGTGCTTGCTGCTTTAGAAGCTCTGCTGTGCCCTTGGTAGTGTGCTCTGGCTGGTGGGAGTCTGGTTAGAACTTGCTGACAGGCTGTGGTGTGTGTGACACACCCAGATGCTCACACTGAGTGCCATGAGCTTGTGGGGGGGCTTTAGCTCCTGGCATCCTGCCTCAGGGCTCTCACAGGGGCCTGGGCCACCTGGGCTGGTGTTTGTGCCTTATTTTGCTTCAGGCTGTCTGCTTTTTCCTGTGGCGGAGGGGCAGGATACAGGCAGCAGGCATATGGGTCTGAGGAAAACCAGGAGGGGGCAGCAGCTTCCAATGAACTGAATGTTTCTGTCATGTAAATCCTGATAGTTCTGGGTTCTGCAGTGCTCACACTGGGGCCATGATGGCAGTGCCTAGTTGAGGTCACCAGCATTGAGCACTGCTTGTGCTGCTTCCCCGGACTTGTGGGTAGCCATCAGACACACCCTCTCCTGCTGAGCTGTCATCAGCCCCTTCTCCTTCTCCCCCAGGTGACAGAGCTCAAGAGCCTGGCCAACCACGTGGTGGTTGGCAATGTCTCATGTGAGACCAAGGACCTGTTTGCGGCACTGCCCCAGGTGGTGGCAGTGGACATCAATGACCTGGGCACCATCAAGCTCAGCCTGGAGGTGACCTGGAAGTGAGTGAGAATGTGGACTTGGGCCCAGGGCTGCATTGCCTCTGGCTGTGCCCAGGGAAGTGGGTGGTTTCTTGAGGGTCATGTCCTGTCCCAGCAGTGCCACCCTGGGGAGGTTCTGGGTTCCTTGATCTCTGCTTGAGGGCAGTTCTGAGGACCAGCAGCCATCTGCCTGGCTGTGTGCACCCTTTACCTTTCCTCCCTAACACCTATCCCCAGCAGGACTGGATGTAATTAGCAGCCTCAGCTGGGGTTGAGGCTGCACTGTCCCCACCCTCCCCTTCCAGTGCTGTGGCTACTTCAGAAGAGTGTGGGGGTGGGAAAACATTGCCCATCCTCTGTCTCTCTGTGAGCTCCACCAAGGGTCCCCACCTCCTCCTTCTCCTGCAGACCCCTTCCTGCTGTGTGACTGGACTCTGCTTGCTGTTGCTTTCCATGCAGCAGAACCCGGCTTGGTGCTAGCTATTATGGGGCTAACGTCAGCAGTGTGTGGCCTCTGGTTTTCCAAGCTTCCACTTGGTCATTTGTGTCATTTCCAGCCCTTTACCCCACAGCACAAAGGGTTTGTGGGCTGTAACAGTGAGCACAAGGAACATAAGGAGGGAGATTTGAGAGTTCAGTTCCAGTCCTTCATCCCTGAGAAAGTAAGGTTGCATCAGCCCTGTCCACAGCTGTGCCCCTCTCACCTCGCTGCTCTTGCTCCCAGCCCCTTTGACAAGGATGATCAGCCTTCTGCCGCCAGCACGGTCAACAAAGCCTCCACTGTGAACAAGCGGTTCTCCACCTACAACCAGAGCCCACCCGACACACCCTCCCTGCGGGAGCAGGCCTTCTATGTAAGTGCGCCCATCTGCCCCTCTGCCTGCTCAGCTTCCTGAGGGGGCTGGGCCAGGCCAGGTTGGGAAGACCCATGGCTGGGGAGAGGGGGACTTGACTGGGCTGGGGAGAGTGGGATCCCATGTTCATCCTGACCTGTCAGGAGGGTCCTGTACGAAGGACATGTTTCTCTCTCAGGGACATGATGCGTGCACATCAACATGGGGCATCGCAAAGGTTGGGACTTTGCTCTTGCTTTCATATGCTCTGACCACAGTGGAGTAGGGCTGTAGCACTGCAGGCCACATGTGACAAGTGAGCTCCACAGCAGCACAGCCTTCAGGACTGCTGCTTTATTGATTTCTTTTTCCTACATGTTTTCCTGGGAAAGGAGGGAGCAGCACCACCAGCCAGCCAAATACTCAAGAGACCCCCTGTAGCTCCCAGGGGAGGGAGAGGCGAGCTGTGGCTTTCTGCTCCCCCTGTTCCAGCCATGAGGTCCAGAGACAAAGCCATAAGCCCCTCTCCCTCCCTGCTGACAGCTGCCTCTTCTCTCTGCCTAAGAGCACAGCACGGGCAGCCACCAACAAGCACAGGTGGTCTTTGCTGGACATCTTCCGTGAGACGCTCCTCGAGAAGCTGTCTCGGAGCTGCTCCTGCAGCGATGTCTCCTCAGTCGAACTTGGGAGATGTCCACGGCAGGGCTCTGTAAGTTCTCTGGCTCAAGCTGGCCTGTAGCTTAGCTTGGGTGGCTTAGTCACCTGACGTAGCTCTAGCTGCATCCTGCCTCCTACTCACTAGTCTGTTTTTAGGTAGGTACCTGCTTTGTGTGGCCAGAAATGGGTAGGGCTTCCCAGCCATAGGGGGCCAGGCCTGCAGGACTCCCATCAGTTGGAAAGGAGGGTGTGGGGGCTTGATGGAGTTTCTGGGATGTCTCCAGTTCCTGCTGTGGAGGACTGACAGGGACTGGCAGTGGCCAGTTGACTCCAAGGCTGGACACCCCATTGCCTAGTTGCATTGGGATCTGTGTGAGAGCTGAGACCTGGAGCAGTGTTCTGCCTGCTATGGAGAGCCCTCGCCATCCCTGGCCTCCCTGAGAGTCAGCCTGGCCTTGGGCAAGAGGGAAAGAGCAGGCACTAGTGAGTATGAGGCTTTTGCCCTGCCTTGCATGCTCTGCTGCACAGTAGTCTGGTGTGCCAGCTCGCTGCAGCCGCCTGCAGGCTAGTGGTGGTGGTGCAGTAGCTGCTTTCTATAGTCTTAGACCTTTCCCCTTTGGCTGTGATCTGCATCCATATCCTGGTCTTTCCCATCCAGTCCTTACCTGGCATAAGATGCACCTCCAGCTCCCTCATGCAGCAGATGAACAGAAGCCTCTGGTCTGTGTATACACTTCTGAGCCCCCCCTGCCTTAAGACTGTACAGGCTGCCCCCTCGCACCAGCCGTGAGCATGGGACCCATCCATCATGAGCTTCGGAGGCTCTGGGGCAGGTCCTGGAAGGCAGGTGCTGAAGGCTGTACCCAGAGCCTGGTCTAACAGTTAAAGCTGCGTCTAGGCACTGAGATTCTTAGTTTCCATGTGGGATGTAAGTGGAGAGTAGTGGCTTCGAGCAGGGAGCTTGGGAGCCTGGATTCTTGGGTTCTATCCCAGCCCTGGGAGAAAGTATGGGGGGTGGCAATTAGAGCAGGAGTGGCTGGGACCTGGCTCCTGGGTTCTAGCATAAGCTCTGAGAGTGGAGGAGGGGACTCTGGTTACCCCAGGGAGTGTAATTTGGGGAACAGGCGAGGCAGAGACTGAACTGGCCAATGCTGGTGCTTGCTGTGACATTCCTTCCTGCCCCAAAGTCACTCCCATGCTGGTGAGAAATGAAGAACAGATTCCTGTATGCCTGGCCTGGCTCATGCCAGCCTGAGCTCCAGGTGGCAACACTCTCCTCCTAAACTGACCCTGGGAGCACTGGGCTGGGAGGCTGTAGTAACATCCAGGGGAGAGGCTGAGTTGGCATCTCTTCTGGCCTGGGCACTCCTCCAAGTGTGAGTGGGTCGTGTCTGAGATCTGGCCTGGCCTGAACTCATTCCACACCCTGGTGAATCTTCTCCAAAGACTTATGAGTGCCACAAGGGTCACTGTCAAGGGACCTCAGGATGAGGGGACCTCTTGGAGCTTCTAGGGAATGATGTTGAGCCCTGGGAGAAACTGTGCCCAAGTTGCTAACTTGTGGGCATCCCCTGCCAGACTTTGGTGCCTCCAGGGGGTCTGAGGGATGGTTGCTGCAATGAAGAAGCACTAGAGGCTAAGTTGAGCTGGCATGAGCTCCTGGAGGAGAAGGGAGCCATTGCCAGGGCTTGCTGGACCCATGGTGACCTGCTGTGCTCTCCCTAGAACATGCTGCGGCGACAGGAAGAGCTGGAAAATGGCACAGCCTGGTCCATCTCGTCAGAGTCGTCGGACGATTCCTCTAGCCCCCAGCTGTCAGGCAGCACCCGCCATGCCTCCCACAAACCCATTGTGCAGCCTGAGGTGCAGGCCTCTGCTCCTGCCATAGAGATCTCCTTCTCCCAGCAAGAGGAAGCAGGAGCAGGTACCCCTGCTATGGCTGAACCACCCAGTCAGCAGCAGGAGCCATTCTGTGTCAGAAAGGAGGTGGTGGCAAATGGACACGTGCCCTACTCCCGGACTCTGAGCCAAATCAGCGAGGCCAGCGTTGACGCAGCAATGGATGGCAGGGAGCTCAAGGACACAGGGGGCACTAGTGCCCATGTGCAGGAGGCTTCTCCAGCCCCTGAGGACTCCAGTGCCAGGGAGCTGCCTCCTTTAGAAATGAACTCCCTCCCTGGGTCTTCAAATCCAATGCCAGAGACCAGGGTGAGGAAGGACAGAGGGCAGGAAGCTAAGCCCCGTGCGGCTGTCTCTTGGGCTGAGGCCTGTGTGCCCATACTGGTGCAACCGGAAACAGCCATGTGCCAAGCCCTGGCACCCCAGGTGTGCAAGGTGCCCCCGAGTCAGCCAGTAGTGTTGAAGCAGGTCTTGGAGGAGGAGAAACCAACCCCTGCGCCCACAGAGGTGCCAAGGGTGAAACCTGTGGACTCTGGCCTGGATGAGGCCATCAGCTCACTGAGCTCAGCCCTGGATGACTACCGGGGGCAGTTCCCCGAGCTGCAGCCCTTGGAGCGGGAGCTGAAACGTCTGGAGGAGATCCTCATGGTAAGGAGGTGGCACTGGGTGGGGGCTGGTCCTGCCTGCCCCCCTGCACTGTTGGGGGCAGTAGGCTGTGAGCAGCATGTTCCATGTACCCCTGAGATCGGGGGCAGGAGCCCAGGGGCAGCACTCCAGCCCGAAGGCCCTGTTAAGGGTCCCAGCTCCTGGGCAGGATGGTCAGAGCAGGGAGAGTGGAAAGTCCCCTGTGGCCTCTGTGCCCTTGTGTCAGACCCGGGGTGATGGGAAGCAGATGCAGCATGGAGTATTGTGCCAGCTCAGCCTGCTGCTATGAGGACCGGCTTGTCTGCCAGCTAGCCCTGCCTGTGGAGTGAGGCATCTGCTGCCTCTGAGCGGGGTGGAGCAGCCCAGACATTAGGACCTTTGGTAAGGGTCCTGGTAGGTACAAGTGCTAGGTGGGGTGCTCTCGGGTACAGGCCCTGCACGTCACCATGCTGCCTTTGCTTCCCTGCAGCACAAGCAAGGCGTCTTCCTCAGCCGTGCCTCCAGCATGAGCCTGACGGTGGAGCACGCGCTGGAGAGCTTCAGCTTCCTAAACACCTCTGACATGGATGACTCAGAGTGCTCGGAGGAAGAAGGTGGCAGGAGCGAGAGGTAGGTGCGCAAGGGGGGTTGTCGGGCCTGGCTGGGCAGTGCTGAACTGGGAACCTCAGTCCTAATCCCGTGTTCTAAGTAGGGTGACTAGTGCCAGGCAGCCTGCCCTGGGCTAGCTGCCCCAATCCACGTCGCCTCCTGGCCACCCCAGTGCCCTGGAGCTCCCAGAGAGGGACTTGCCTCTCAAGGCGAGTGCCCTGGGTTCCAGAAGCCGTGACAATGTTGCCCAGCCTTGACATGGCCACCTCCATAGAGCCCAGTAGGCCTCAGGCCTACAAGTTGTGTGGTGGCAGCGCCACCTGGTGGTGTGGCCTCTGTGGTGCTTTCCTGGTGCAAGGAGCAGCTTCTTCCTGGGCCTGGGATGCAGAGACAAACCCATGGCCCAGCTGCTGCCACCTCCCCTCCAGGGTGCAGCTAGACTTGGGGGCTGGGCCCTTTGATAGAGCAACACATCTGGCTCGTTGCCTGCTCTACACCCATCTGGGGACTGCCTGTAGATCTGACATAGACCTCAGTCTTTTTGGTCCCTGGCATGATTCTAGTGGGTGTAACAGAGGACCAGGACTCCTGGGACTATGCTGATGACTTGCTGTGCAGTCATAGGCAAATCTCTTCTCTCTCAGTGTAAGGAGGGCTGTACCCCCTCCAGACAGACAGACCCAAGGGCTTAAGTGTCCTTTGAGCCCTCAGGCAGAAGCTGCTCTGGCTTCCAACGTGCTTTCGTCTCTGGGGCACTGTACACAGAACTGATCAAGGGCCACTTCTGAGGTCTCCTGGGTTAGGATCAGGTCCTGTTCCCTGCCCTCACACAAGCCTCCACCCTGACTATGGCAATATGGCAAGTCCTACAGAAACTTTTAACTTACTGGCACCAAAATCCAAGACATTACAAACCCAGCCCTGGCATGGAGGAGCTCTTCCTCTGGGAGGGAGACTGGGAGCCAGCATGTCTTCTGGCTAGTGGGTGTGCAGTACAATGGGGATGGGAAAGCCAGGAAGCATGTTGATGTGTTCCACTCCTGTGCCCATAGGAAGGTTGGTAGTGCCCGAACTGGGGATGGGGCTCTAGGCATCTGTGAGGTGATGGCTGAGGACACTGGCATCTGCAGCGGCTCTGAGGGAAGCACTGACCCCATGAGCACTGGCAATGAGTTCCTGGACAGGGCTCTGGTTCTTCATCTCAATAACTGCAACCTTCTGCTGCTGGTGAGTGTGAGAAAATGAAAAGCATTCCTTCCAGGGGGATGGCCACCCCCGGGCTGGTAGGGATGGCACAGAGTCTGAGCACTAACAGGAACTGTGATGGGCTCCATTGCTGTCTTTGCCAATGCTAGGGTCACCCTACCTGCTTGCCAGGGTCTGACAGATGCTGTGGGTTGGCATCCACTGCTGCCTGCTCAATGCTACAAGTGGCATGGCACAGCAGAGGGGGCTGTGGTGCCGCTTGGAGATCCCTCCTGCCAGTCCCTGCCTCAGGAGCTTTGCTGTAATTGTACCTTCCAGAAACTGGGCACGTTTGGCCCCCTGCGGTGCCGGGAGATGTATGCCCTGGACAAGCTGATGAGGGAGGCACAGGTGCTGGAGATCGTCTGCCAGCTGACGGAGAAGTCAGGGGCAGCTGGCACAGCCATGGAAGGTACACGCCCTTAGTGTAGAACGTGTCCCAGGGGTGTGGGCCAGGGGCACCAGGCCATGCTGAATAATGGGGTCCATGCTGGATCATGACAAAGAGGGGGCTGTCATAATGCAGGAAGAGCACTGGTCATTGACAGGTCTGTGCTGGATCAGAGGGGATGGGACAGTCCTAGGCCAGCACTGTCTCCTCAGAAGAGGAACACTTGTTGATGGGTCTGTGGGAAGGGGTCTCCCAGGCTGGATGCCCAACTCCGGTCCCCCAACTTTGGATGCCCAACTGAGCAGTGGCTGAATCTGCAGTGGCGGTGACTGACTTGATGCCTTTGTGCAATGTGAACACAGCTCTGACTGACTGTGTCTGTGCCTGCAGTGGTGCAATTCTCCACCCGGAAGGAAGGTGTGTTGCCCTTCTGGGATTGCTGTGTGGAGCTGCCCAATGTCTACACCTGTCCTGTAGAGAGGTTTCTACAGGCACTCAGTGCTCAGTACACAGTGCCCATCAGTGAGCGGCAGCTGGGCTTGGCAGACTCAGGTGAGTGCTGTCTCAGGTCTCACTGTGCACAGACACTTTAGGAGCCACTGCTGTCTCTGTCCGCCATCTTTGGGGCCCATAAGCATCCTCATTGCTGAGGTGGGCATGGGGCTTTTGGGTAGCTCTGGAAAAAGGCAGCAGCTTGCCCTGTGTCAGCTCTGATTGACAGCCCGATGCATCACTTGTCTCCAACATGCCCAGCCCAGATGGGGGGCACTGAGGCAGAAAGGGCAGTTCTGAGAGAAGAACCTAGACATCCTGGCTCTCAGTTCTGTGCTTTGACTAAACCAGGGACTCTCAACCAAGGTGCTGCAGCTCCCTGGAGTGTCTCAAAATCCTTTCAAGGGTGCTGTGGGGTGCCATACAAATTTAGGAGTGCAAACATGATTCACAAGATAAACCCAGAGATTTCAAACAGGAATCCATGGTGGTAAACTATCTGACCTGTTGGGGTCTTTCTGAGTTCTTTGGAACAGAAAAATTGCTCTAAAGTTTTTTCTGTAGTCAAAAAATGAGTGAAAGCCAAGAGCTGGCACTTTCTGAACGCACCTTGAGTCTAAGGAGGTTGAGAATCACTGAGCTAGAGCTTCGTTTCCCTCTAAAAAATGCCAGGACATGGCAAAGAGCCAGCTGTTGGGTGCTGTCCTGGTGCTGGAAACCCTGCACAGCTGGTGCCTCTGGGATGTGTTCCCGACAAGGTGTCTGGGAATACAGAGAAGCCCCAACCCCATCCTGCCTCCGCTCATGGTGGTACTGACCTGGCATTCTCTCCTTGCAGTCTGTGTGAAGCTGGTGGAGGATGTGCTGGATCGTCGGCTGCCCAAGCGGCCTGGGAGCAGCCATGGGGAACAGGTCACCATCTTCCAGTACTGGAGCTACTTTGAGTCATTCAGCATAGAGTCCCTGGACTCCTATGTTATGGAGCTGGCTGAGGAAGGTAGGCACCTGTGTCCTTCCCCTGCTCCACCTTGATGTGAGTAATGGCACAGACAGGCCCTATTTTTCATTCACCAATGCACCCTGCTGACAAAGCACCAGCAGGAATGCTGGGCCAAGCTAGGATAGGCCTGCCCCCATCAGACATTTCCCACACATGCTGCTCTAAGCTATAGGTAGGAAAACAACAGGGCAGTGCCTGCAGAGAGGGTCTGTCTTCTCTCCCAAGATGAGTAGGGGCATGTCCTGGCTCACCTAGTGCTGGGAGATGTGGATGTATCCTGCCAGTGCTCACTGACCCATCTCCCTTGCAGTACTGCTGGCACAGAATCTGAACTCAGATGACCAGGATGTGGTGCTGAAGGCACTGAAGCGAGTACCTGAGAGCCGGCTTAAGAAGGAGGGGCTGAAGGCCTTGAGCTCACTGCTTGTGGAGGGCAACAGCAAGGTCATCAGCGCTGTGTCTGCTCAGCTGCGCAACCTGGCAGAAAACCCCCGCTTCCGGGAAAGAGTAAGTGCCAGCTGCCTGACACCCCCAGTGCTCCTGCACAATGCCTGCCTGGGGGATCCCAGGCATGTGGAGCCTTTGGAGAATGAAAGGAAGAGACAAGAGGGCTTGTCCCTAGGGCTTTGGGGTCCCTTCCAGCCCTATGATTCTATGAAGAACTAAGGGAGGTAGTGAATTGCAAAGAAAGGTGGGAGGGAGGGGGTGTGGGTGTGGAAGACCTGGGTGTGCAAGTTCCAGTGGTGGGGATGGTGCTTGAAGAGGCCCTGTCTGTGGATGGGGCTGGCTGCGTTGCTGCCCTGCTCTCAGCTCCCAGTGCCCTCCTGGCAGACATGCTGATCTCTGCCTCCCCCCCAGGCTTTGGTCTGTTACTTGGAACAGCTAGAAGATGAAGAGGTGCAGACACGCATCGGTGGATGCGCAGCCCTGGGGTGTCTCAAGGTCAGTGCAGCCCTCCTCTTGCACCTCCCCTGCATGGGTGTCCATGGAAAGGAACTGCCCCTCCCTTTCCCTGTACCCAGTTACATCCCAGGGAGGTATGTGGAGCCTAGGTGCAGCAGAGTATGTATAGGAGGTGCGGTCAGGAGGGGGAGCTCCCTGCTGCCATTGTGCTTGGTAGCCAGGCCCACAGGGCTTGCTCTGAGCTCACACCCAGGAGATCTCTGCTCTAATCCTACCCATGAGGCAGTCTTGCCTCAAAGGTCTCTCTGGCCTTGAGCAACAGGAATCAGTGCCTCCTGGGCAAAGGAGAAACTGCATGGCAGCAGCATCCTGTGTGCTGGACTCTGAGTGCTACAGACAGCCTGGCTGCACCTGGCACAGGGGAGTGCACTACTGAAGGAAGGGCATGAATAGACTCCAGGAACCTCCCACCCAAGTCCTTTGGTCTTCAGCCAAGGCCAAGAGGCAAGGCTGGAGCAAGGGAGGAAAACAGCCCAGGGGTGGACATGAGTGGGTCTGCAGAGGGAATGAATGAAGTGACACTGCTCCCCTCCCAGAAGTCCCAAAATGTGCTAGTTATCTGAACACAGAGAGGAACTGGGAGAAAGCTCAGACCCAGCCTCAGTCATTTTCCTGAGCAGGCAGCCAGAGGGGCCTGGAGCAGGGCCTGGACATGCACATGCTGCTCTGAGAAAACTGTGGTGGAGCCCTTTGTCTCCCATCCCCTCCCCTGAAGGGGGAAAAGAACAGAGGTCTTCAAGTGGCACTGGGCCTGGTCCCCTGGATCCCTCATACTACTAGAACCAGCGTGCTGCCTGTGGGGTGGGTGGCAAGGGGGTGAGGTAGGAGGGGCCTGTTCCCATGCAGTGCCAGTATTCTGCCTGCAGTATGCTGCATCCTCTCCCAGAGGCCAAGGCAGGGCCATGCCCACAGCCAGGGCAGTGGTGGCAGGTAGTGGGATGTGCTCAGTGCTTTGCATTCCTCTTCCAACAGGCCAAAGAGAGCATTGAGCAGCTGGTGTATCTGTGCCAAACTGACAAGGAAGATGTGCGGGAAGCAGCCAAGCAGAGCCTGATGCTGTGTGGTGAGCACTCTGCTATTCCCTTCCCCACCCTCAGCCCCACAGCAGATGGCTCCAGTGGCAGACAGGGCCTTCTGGAGCCCACAAGTCTGCTTGCAGGGCTCTGTGCCCCAGCACTGCCTGGGCTAGCTCGCCTGGTGGGAGGACTGGCTGACTGGATGTGGCAGAGGCCTTGGTTCCATTCCTGGCTTCACACACAGTCCTGTAGCAGAGCCAGGGCTTTCCCCTCCCCTTGTGTGGGAGCCATCCCAGGACCTGCCTGGGGTAAGAGCTGACACGGGGCTCCATCACCCCACAGGCAGGATGGCCTGTGAGCCAATGCTGTTCAGGTGCTCCAGAAACCTGCATTGCTAAGTGTCCTTGTTATTTATTATCATTTATTAGACGGCACTGAGAGAACCATCTGATTGGCTAACTAGGCTTCCGGGTCAGGAGAGCAGCCACACAGGTTGGGATGTGTTAGCCGGAGTCATGTACCCTCCCTGCTCCTGCTGCTTTGCTCACGATTGTCTGTTTTGGATCCTGTTGGCCGTGCCATTTTTTTTTTTTTTTTTTTTTTTTTTTTTTTTTTTTTTTTTTTTTTTTTTTTTTTTTTTTTTTTTTTTTTAAACGCCTGTCTTTACTGTCTGTGGCACCCAGTCTCTGTGGCGCTCCCGGTTTGCGTGGGCACATCGTGCACAATGTCATGACCAAACCTGTCTGTCACTGCTGCTGAATGCCATTGGCCTGCTCACGTGCACGTGTTTGTGAGAGACTGCTGCCCTCTGGTGGCTACAAATAACACCAGATGAAAGAAAGGTTTCTTTCCTTAGCTGAGGTGGTAGAGACTATGGCTTCTGAAATACAGTCTCTTAGGTCTCTGGCCCACCTCCACAGATTAAATTATTCAAGATTAAACTTAATTTGAACATCAAAACCCCAAGACCCTTAGGGTATGTCTGCATCAGGGCAGCAGAGGTCTCAGCCTCGCCATCAAGGAAACAAGTACCACCCGCTTGCTCCACCCATGTCAACCTTGGAAGTGAAGTGAGGATGGCCTGGAAGCTTTGCTTTTAAGCACACTAGAAATCCAAGCTTTGAGAGTGGCACTACGGCATCCCTGGTGCCCAATTCCAGGGCTGACATACATGGAACAGGAACAGGTGGGCAGGATCTACCAGTATTTCCTTGGTGGTGAGACTCTGCTGCTGCAGTCTAGAAATGTCCTTAGCCTGAAGCTAGCTGTTGCAATCTCTGTCCATGTTCTTGGAGAGTTGCACACTGGGGAAATGAGAATACATCTAGCATAGTCTTTGCTCTTCATTGCTCTGCTGAGACGCCAGGGTGTGGAGGGTTTAGGTTGGCCACAACTCATGGCTGCGTCTTGGAAGAGAGCTTATTGGCCAGGCAGGGCCCACAGCTGGTGTTGATGGCTGACTGTGACTTATTTTTGCAGGGGAGGATGGTAAGTCTGCTCACCGCCGGCTGGAGGAAACCCTGGACAGCTTACCGAGGATCTTTGCCCCAGGCAGCATGGCCAGCACGGCTTTCTGAGAGATGCCAGTACTTACCCTGATCCCTTTGGGGCAGAGGCACCGTTGAGCTGCCCTAGGCTCACATGGACTGGTCCAGACCCAGCATGTCATGGCCTGACACAGCTCCCAGGCCTTTGGAACAATGAGCAGTATTAGGACCTCCCCAGCAGCTCGCACAGCCCACTCACTGCCTTACGGAGCACAGCTTTCCCTCACACCCGGACACTGGGCTAGAGGGGGCTGCTGCATACATGATGCCACAGTCTCTCTGGGGATTGGGGCCTTGGACACTCCTCTCCTACCTTGCTTCTCTATTTGAACTTGCTGGGTGGAGCTGGAGTTCATGCACCCCCTGCAGGAGATAAGATTGGCATATGAAGGCTGCATCAGGACTCCTCTTCTACTTGCCTTCCAGTAGCTTGCAAGCTGCTTGGCCTTCCTGGGATGGACGTGCACTTTGAAGCTGTTATTTCTTCTTGGGAGCTCCTTTGCTATGGGGATTGTCCCCATTCAATGCTTGGAGTTCCCAGGACTTAATAAAACAAGACATAGATATTAATATATTCTGCTGGCATTTCTTTTTTTCAGCTCCAAGTGCCTCCTGCCTACTCCTCCCCAGTGTTGGCTGCGGGGAGCACACAGCATTATGCAGGGACCCAGATTGGAGCCTTCCCCTGGGGCTTAGCTGGTGGTTTTTAAGGCGTGCTGTGTAGAGGGCATGGAAAGGAGGACCAGACAGAGGGACACACAGACAGAAGCTGCCACCTTTTTTTTTCGTTTTTTAATTTAATTTTATTTTTTATTTACAGAATTTTTTTGCAGAAAAACAAGCAAAAAATCCTTTTCTATAAAGTCTCTATAAATCTATATATAATGTAATTACAGAGAATGGCTAATTTTGATTTAAATTCAGAAATAAAAATAAACCTTTAACGAGTGAAGGTGTCATTTTGTGACAATGTTGCAGGCAGCAGGGAGTCGGGATTGGGGAGTTCTAGGGCTCTGGGCTATGCTAGTGTGGGTTTGTTAGCAGAGCAGGAGGGCTACTTCCTCCTCAGCCCTTTGTCTGGGTCCCCTGGCAGATCAAGTTGTACCTCTCTGTACCTGCCCACCTGTAATGCATGGATGCTGAATCTCCCAGGGCTAGCTAGCTAAATTGTCAAAGTTCTCTAGCAAAACCTCCAGCAGGGCTACCTGTAGTGTCCTCACATCCAGCCTGGGAATGTAGGGGGCTCATGGGTCTCCCAGGGCTGATGCCAAGTGTGTGAATAGTGACTGTAGTTCTGTGATGCAGTAACATATAAAGGCCCCAGCAAGCAAAAGGCCACCACACAAAGGACTCTTCTCGCTGTGGGTTCTAGGTATTCAACATTCTGGCTTCTGTAACATACAGAACTAACCCACACACCCACCGCCATGTCAATGCAGGCAGCTGCCAGTGCAAGGACCAGAGGCAGACAACCACCCAAACTGAGCCCCACCAATGGAGCTGTCAGGAGAAATGCCTGTTCCTTGCCTCACCATCTGCATGAAGCTGAGAAGGAGGCCATGTGTGTATGGAACAAGCACGGCGATAGGCCCAACTTGTGTAGGGTGTCAGCAACATGGCAGGGGCAACAGCTGGAGAGTAAGTATTTTTCTGCTTATAACTCACCCACCAACAGCTCCTTTGTGTTAAGTGAGTTGCAGTGTGCAGATGTGTCAAAAACCTGTCTGAGAATAGCACAGGAATGCATTTGGGCCATCTTCTTTAAGGGCATGGAGTAGAGGCTGATCATGAGGTTCTTGCCTCAACTCTGTGGTCTCCACATCAGTCTTGCAATCTAATGAAAACCCCAGCACACAGAGCCCTTTGTGGAAGGATTCAGAGTCAGAGCTATCTTAAGGCCTGTTCTTTTGCCAAAGAAACCTTCTTCTGACTGAGAACATGAGCCTCAGCCACTCAAATAATGGATCTTGGAGCCACAGCAGCTGGCTCTATATTCCCAACATTAGTGGTATGAACCAGACACTTGGATACCAATGTGCAGGCTGGCTTGTACTTGTGGGAACTGGCATCTGGTAAAGCTTTAACCCCTTTCTTCCACCATACTGAGCTTTCTGCAGTGCTCAGGGACATGGGGAGAGCTGTGCAGCCCCAGCATGTGACTCTGGGAAGGATGATGGGGAGGGGAGTGGCTGAAGTTCTTACTAGTCATCCCTTACATTTTTCCTTCTGGAAAGAAAGTAACTTCCATTAACTGGCAGAGGTCCCCCATATCTCAGATAGCTGGTGTTTTATGTTGTAGCTCAGTTTTCAAACAACAGCATCAACTTAAATGGAATTTTACTGGGGACACTTATTCTACGCTTGCCTTAAGTTACAGTGATAGGCTGTTCTGAAACAGGCATTCTTCAGGTGTGCTGGCAACTTGGACATGGCAGGACTGAAAACCTGAGACAAGAACTAATTGCAGAAATTTGTCCTTTGGGCTGTGGGATGTCCTACAAAGAACCAGGACAGTAACAGTGATGGGGGTGACTGGTTTCAAGAACCTTGTGCTTTTAAAGTCTGCTTTCACTATTTGGCCTTAACTTGTCACCTTAAACAATGTTAGTGCCTCTTCTTTGAAAGGCAAAAATAGATTTCTCCCTTCTCTGAACTCCATAAAAGCTAAAAGGATCTTGCATAAACCTAGAAAAATAATAACCAGCAGGCAGAGACTGAGCCTGGAAATCCATCCTCTAAAAGGGTGTTGGTTCAGCATGGTAGGAACAAGAAGAAAGATTGGATTGGATGCTGCCCTCTTAAGGCTGCTGCTATCCAGACCTGAGATTACTGATAGGAATCTAGGTTATGCATGGGAAACCAGAGGCGGTTCTTTGGTGACAAAATACAAAAACCTTTGCTTTCTCCCATGTCTTGAGCAGCAGACAAGTGCACTTGGCTCAGTCTGTTTAGATATCTAAGCACTACCCCTGATCAGTATTAAGAGGCAGACAGGGCTGCACCAGGCTCTGAGCAAGTGCAGTCATGGCAGAATGGTTGGATGTGTTAGTGTACATAGCTGCACTGTTCCTTCTCATGGCAGGAAGACGTTTATGAATTGCCCGGAAGACAATTAGCCATGTTTCCTTGCCTATCTGCCTGGTGCGGAACAGAGGAAGGCATGTTAATGGGGATAGAAAGATGGGACTTTACAACTGAGATTCAACCACAAAACTCTTCTCTTCTCCCCCCAGCTGATAGTTGTTTGTGAGCCCTTTAAGTCTCAGACTTCTCAAGAGCTCCTAGGAAGCATGGACCTCCTCCTCCACTGCACCCTATGTGTTGCTTTCCCAGCATACCTATGCTCTGGGATAGGAATACTCAGCGATATCCTGGCAGTCATGGTTAATCCTTGAAGAGGAGCCAGGATGAGACTTCCCTCCAGTTTTAAACTTTGTTTCCTAGAAGTTGCATCCTCCTGTAGCAATCCTCATTCACTAATAGAAAACAAGGCTGTTGTGAAGGTGAAGCTGAAGCTGTTCTCCCTTCATACTTTGCCTTTGCCTTTGAACTCACTCTCCACTCCCCCATTGGGATTTCCCAGTTTCTGCTGCTGAAAGAAACCCAGAAGTGGTCCCGGAAATGCAGTTTCGTTCCTCTGTGCATCTGACAATATTTGGTGCCCATCTGTATCATTGTTTCTGTTGTAAATTCAGTCAGTTCCCTCTTCCTCCTGTGGGTCTCACAGCCAGGGGGGAAACAGAAATGGAGCTGCAAAGCCACAAACTGATAGATGTCAAATCAGCCATGTCCAATCAAACAACTGTTAAGAAAAAATGAAACTTCCTAACTGTAAGAGCAGTTCTCAACCTTGTCAGAGTCCCTCCCCAAGTTTTCTGAATGTGGTGGCAGCCATGATTGAGAATAGCTGCTGTGTTCAACTTGCTTCAGGGCTACTCAACTGGGTGTTGCCACCTCCAGGTAAAACTTCCCCATGCTCCTGCTGTGTAGCCAGACTGGGAAGGGCTGTGGCACATGGTTGTGTTTCTGCTGCATTAGAGTACTCTGGTAAGCCTAAAGCAGGGAGGACAGCAAGCTTGTGTTCCAGCCCTTCCCAGCCTGACATCACAGCATCTTCCAGCAACAGAGGAAGGCAGAACTGTCCTATGTAGCTGTTTCCAGGAAGAATATTGGGAGGGAGCCATCCGCAGAGTTGCAGCCTGAATTGACTCTACCTAATGCAAGAGGAGCATGTGCATAGTGCTGCCCTGCCCGAGGGGCAGTTTTACCTGGTCCCCGCAACCACATGGTGGCATCTGCATTGCAGCAACCCTGGCAGGGGTCTCATGACATCCCAGGGTGCTGCAGCACCCTGAGAACTACTGCCTTAGAGTGAAACAACAAGTCATCATCACACAGTTAAGACTAGGAAAACTTGGGTCTAGTAATAAATTCATGTGCTTTACTCAAAGATGCAAATAATAGATGGACTTGAACAAATTATACTACTGGGATTCCTTCCCTGAAAAGAGCAAAACCTGTATCAGTGGCACAGTGAGTTAACTAACCAGAGCAGGGTGTTCCAGGCTAGGTGTTTCCAGACAGAGAAAATGTTAATGTGTAAAAGTTGAGGCAAAGACATCCATACAAGCCCTTAAAAACAAGGGAGTCACATGAAGTTATTTTATCTGTATACTTGCCATTCACTGAGACTAGCCCTCTGTATAGAAGACCCAGAGATTACCCATTGCTTATTATTGCTATATAACAGTTCTCTGCAACATCATAATGTCTTAGTTTGTGCAGCAGTGAACTGATGACCTGTGTGCATGGGGAAGCAGATGGTCAGTTAGTGTTGTACCGTGACCAGATGGTGAGGAATACAATTTGTATACTGCTACTGTACTTGCTGGAAATTTTGGGGACTTGCTGATGGTTGGCCTTAAAGATAGATCTGTGCTAGAATTTCCTGGGTTTTAAAAGTATATGCTTGAGTTATGTAGAAAAAAAGATCTTTTCTCCTTCAATGCTGTGAGCATTTGCATGTAGGGTGGCATTTTCAAAGGTACAGATTTGTACAGGTCAAAATCAATGTTTTTTCTTCGTAATTGTATAAAGAAAGTAAACTTTTTCCTGACAGTGATGACCCACGTGTAACAGAACAGTTCAGCCTCTGACAAATGGAACATACCAAACAGGAATAAACATTTCATCCTGCATTATTATGCTAAAAATGTTGAAGTACTAGTTTCTGTGTATATTGCGATTAATGTTTTTCCTTATTTTAAGTTTTGATTTAAAACATGAGGTACATCATTCTTATTAGTAACATGGCTCTAATTACAATGTAATCATTAGTGGCTGCCTCTGCAAACTTTGGTTGAATGACTTGCCTATATGACATAAGAAGTCTGTAGAAGGGCCAGGGACAGAACCCAGCCCTGAGTCCCAGGCCAGTGACCTACATCATGACAATCCCATAGAATAAAGAGTGTACGATCATATAATTAGGTGGTTCACTGCCCAAAAACTTCATCAGTGCACAGTTAAGATTGTTTTGGCAGTGCATTGTATCCTTCCACAACATGAAATGGATCAACACTGAAACCTATACAAACAGAGTAGCTCATGTCAGTCCAATCTGCAACCTTAACCGTGGCTCTCAGGGCTAGCCAGAACTGAGGGTAGACTGGAGGTGTATTTCAGCCAGGGCTACGTTATAAAAGAACACACAGAATGACAGGCTTCTCTAGGGCCTATGACTGGAATGATCTAACAGGAATTCATGACGTTTGCAAACTTCACCATCTGTAGCTCCAAGCATGTTTCTTTGACATGCCTGTGGATATAATAAAATTCCAACACACACACACATTCCCGTAAACAAGAGACAAGTTGGTTAATGCTGCTTAATGCATTACTAGAAGATACTTGGATACTGTTGTGATGGCTGCAACACAAGAGC